GATTAATAAAAATAAAAGAGATTCTTGGTATGGTTGGCTTAGTGCAGCCTGGACTCTGTAGATTATAGTACCTTGTGCTGACTACTTGGGCTGTCAATGCCTACCTCATAGTGATTGTGGTGTGTCCTTCATCTTTGCAGTCATGCAGTATGGTCTCTTGCCTCTTGGCCTTGATTTTCTTATAGACCTGTTTCTATAGACTTTGTTATATACTTAGTTTCTAGTTAGAAACTTGTTTTCTTGGGAGTCATAGGATATCTCTTTCAGAATGCTCCTTACATCTTCTCGCTTTGGAGATGCTGTTCCTATTTGCTTTCACGTAGGTGAGGAGAATGAGCCAGCTCTAAGCACTTACAGCTTACCTTTCTCACACAGCATTTCATAGGGACAGAATGATACTGAAGCATTGCCCTGAGTTCATCCCCAGAGTAGTCAGAGTGTTATCAGACTTAATCAGTTAACTTGTCTCCTTTCTTCCTGAAGCCCCACACTATATTTAGAAAGAAAAGTTATATATGTTGAATGTTTCTGTAGCCTTACTTAACAGTATTGACAGGCAGACAATTAACTGTGTCTTGAGTTATTCCTGGCCTTTGCAAGGACCAGGCAAAGAATACCTAGAGCTGTGAATAGACATAACTTTAAACCATTTTAGAAGGAGGATAGGATTTGAACAGGCTTAAAGTTACACCATTTATACGGATATAGGCATGGACAGATTTAATAGCTATATTGAAGCATCTTTTACTGACATCATTGAATACTGTTGAAACACCCTATCTGTTTTAAGCCCTAAATGAATAATGTTTAGTCTCGCTGTGTTACTAGTTGGCTTGTCTACCTCTCCGTCTGAATGTAGAAGCTCACTCCACTAAAGCTCAAATGACTTTCCCTGCCTGCTTCAGAAGGCTGACCATTTCTGAGCACGTGGACAGACTTAACTGAAATGTTGGAAAAGGCTTCAGAAAGGAAATGTTTGAGGCAAGACATAGCCCTGTGCCATTCTGGGCTAGAACATTTCAAAACTCTGTATCCTCCCCTGGTGTCAGCGTTCAAAACTCTGTAGCCTCCCCTGGTGTCAGCCAGTGACCACTAGAGCAGGCTGCAGCAGCCTGGAGCTCTGCTCTCAGTCTCTCCTCTTTTTCCCTCACTGGGACAAAAGGTAAAGGGAAGAGAAGAGCAGAAAGCTGGAGAGGAGAGGGAAGCTGGAGTGGAGGTGCAGCAGGGGGCTCCCAGATCCCTAGAACTTCTGTCTTCTCCCCCTGCTCTTCCCCCTTAGTAGTGGGAATCGGGGCTGGAGGGCCTGGCGCCGACATCCCGAGTGGGGAAGGAGGGTGGGGAAGAACTGGGTTCCAACCCCAGCTCTTACATGTGGTCCCTGTGCACTCGGGGGCATTCTGTGGGTAACCAAAAGTGAAACACTCCAGAGTAGTACTTCATTTTGAGAGGTGCTATTTTGGAGTGTTTCAGCACCGTCTAGAGCATTTCAAGGGGCATGTACATCTGTTAGCTGGCATTGAAACATTTCAAAGGTCTTTGAAATGTTTTAATTGTTACATCTGTCCACACCGTGAAGTATACAAGGTGACCACATATAATAATCCTTGCTGACTTTCAGCAAACATTGTGTTTAGAATGCAGTCGGGTGCCAAGTTCAGGAGAGCAGTGCTATAGTCACAGTGCTATAGCAGTGCTATACTCCTCATCCTACCATTCAAGAAAGATGTTGCTTTTACCAGTCACCTGCAGTGAAGTCCATACTGACCTGCACTTGGAGAAAGAATAATTACTCACTCTACAGTACCTGTGGCTTTTCAGAGTAAGGATGCTCATTTGGAGCCCATGACCTGTCTTTTTCCCTGCTTTCAGAATCTTCAGGTAACATGAGACCCATCAATGTAGACACTGAGATCCATGCTATGAATATCATTTTGAAGAATGACAGTAGTTGTTGGGTAACAAGTCTGATTTGGGTAACTGTTAGATAACAAGAATCCCACCTCTGCACAGGTGTAATAGCAAGAAAACCTACTCTGATTACAGCCATGTGGTTGGAGAGGAAATTAACATAAAGCTATGTATAATATACCCGATATTAAGATTTAACAAGAAAAAAAATTAGGCTGAATCAGTAAATAAGTTTAAACCAACTGTCAGTAAATATTTGTCAGCATAGTCTGATAAACATAGGAAATGATTTTTAAAATTTGCAGTTAAACTTTATAAATTAAGGTCAACTTAAATTTTTGCAATTTGTATTTTGGTAATGACTTGTTGGCTATGAATCTTGGTACAGTTAAATTTAAGACTACTTGAGAAGATTCTCACAGGCAGGATGTGTGCTGCTCACAAACCAAAGGGCAAATAATGGCTAGACATCTCTGTACATTTGAAGTATTCAGAAAGGAATACGAGAGTCAGGAAAAGGAGTCAAACTGCTAAAAATACAACCTGTAGAAGGCTGTGGTTTGACCTTATAAGTCAACAGTGTCAGACATCTATAAATAATTAAAGTGCTCCTGGTGAAATTAAGCTTAATTGGAATTTAACTGTAGATTATCCATTACCATAGAAAAGACTATTACCATCAGAGTTTTATCTATTTAGAGGCCAAAAATCCCTCTTGTAAATCCAGTATTGCCCTCTTGTGAGGAAGGAGAATCTGAAAAAATGTAATCTATAATCACTTTAATCTAAATTTAACAAAATTAATCTATATAAATATCAGCTGGTGCAAAGAACTGGTAAATATCAGTAAGAAAGGATTGGGATGCACAGCAGGTTAAATTCAGTGTAACGTACATTAGTTTTGCATATGGATGCAAGTTATACTGCTGTCCAGGCAAACAGTTGACTAGGCCTGCTGGGGTAATTGCTGCTGTGGGCACAGTTATCTTACTTCAGTAGTCAATAGTGTAGGAGCCAATGTATGAATTGCACAAACAGCTGCCCTGGGATAGAAGAAACATATGACACTTCCTCCAGGATAAATTATATGAGTATAGGTTTACCCCTGATTTCTTGGGGTGCTTCCACACCAGATACTAATAAGTTATATTGTTGTCTGTCTACTCTTTCTGGCCCTCCTACCCCCACAAGTATAAATGTGTAATGTCCAGGCTATAAGTTTTATAGACTTTTATTTGATTTGATATGAAATATTTAGGAGCACCTTTTGCCACACTTACTCAGTGTACATAAGTTCTTGTGTTATGATGTTTATAAGTCATTCATAAAAGACCTGGCAAGAAAAGTAAATAACACTTATGACTGAAGTAACAAAAATTCCTAATTCTTAGTATCTTCTAAGATTTATTATATTGTTTGGTCCTGTTTTACTTTACAATTGCTCCCCAGTATTTACAGTGGCAATGCATTCATATTTTACTAAAGATGAACTGTAAAACTTGTTGAGAAAATAATTAAACTTAAGAACATGCATGCTAGCTCAGTAGTGTGTGTGCATTGATTTACACGTTACAAGTTTATTTTGAAAATAAAATTAAATGTTGAATGTGTTTTTAATTGATTAGCGTGATGGTGTTGAGTGTATTAGAGTTTTAGGGGGTTGGATACGTCAGAGGTTTAGTATGGTAATGAGATTCAGAGCCTTTATGCTTTTAACCTCTACCATAAGATACAACATATTGATGACCCAAAGTTACTGCCATCCAAGTAGAATTCCAACACTGTAAAAAGTTTATTTTTGTGACATCATAATTTGATTGTAATTTTTATATGTAGGCATGTTGACACTATATTTGTAGTGTCACAATTTCATGACACTGAGTGTGTTGGAAAACTTTGCAGGATAGCCATATCAAAAACTTGAGCAGTCATACAAAAATTAGGACTGAAGCCAACAATATGGTCTGATTACTGTTCAGCAACCTTTTAGTGTCTTTTCTCTGTGTATATAATGTAAACAACTTGAGCATCATTTTACATTTGGCACTTCTTTGAAAATATTTTCGGAGAAGTCAGTAACTAAATGGGATGTAGCAACTGAACTCTCACTTTTAAAGGTGGCTTTGTCATATCGGGATTTAAGTGTGCTGGCTGGGAAATTTAAAGTACTTTTCACTACTGCTATAATTGTGAAACTGTATGCAAAGTACTTTTACCTTCCAGTGTTGTTATTGGGCCTTTTAAATTAAAAGTTAAACTAGAAATCTGTCTATTTAAAATTATTTAGAAAATGCACGATAACCTACAAGTCATGATATTGTTTTTTTAGAGCTAGACATAATGTTCATTGCAGTCACTGGAAAGTCTTTCATCAGCTGCATTGGGTTTTAAATTAGGCTCTTAACACAGATGATGGTATACATCCTTGGAGGTTTTTAAGATCTAGGTACACAAAGCCTTGGGTGGGGTGATCTAGTTGAGGGATGGTCCTGCTTTGAGCAGGTGGTTGGACTAGATGACCTCCTCAGGTTCCTTCCAACCTTAATTTTCTGTGATTATGACCTATAATAGTACTTGTCTTGTTTAGTTACTTTTTATGTAATTTCTTAGTGGTTAGATTTCTTTCTGCTTGCACTTTTTACAAAATTACTGATGAAAAAAATCAGGTCAAAATGATTAGAGATTTTTTTATGGTGTCTTCTAAAATACAGTGACAGCCTCATACACATTACATGTAGCTGTGCTTGAAGTGGCAACTTGCTGGCTAGTTTCTGCAATGTTTATAAAATATTTTGAGAGCTCAGGTTGTCAAAACTGTCATTTGAAAGTTCATTATTTTATCAGACAACTCATACAGCAGTTATGAATGACATGAACAAATAATTTGATTTGTACATTGAGGACTAAATAGTCCTGACCACATCTGTTGACCCTTGTATTTCTAATTAGAAAGGATAGAAAAGTTTTCCTCCTACCTCAGAATCAATGACTTATAAATCTGTTCAAAATTGTATTTATTGAATTATAAACTTTATTTTTGAAACTTAAGACATCAAAAAATTGAAAGATCTGCATTTGTTTCTCTTCTGCAGGAATGTTGCTGTAACTGTCAAAGAACATGATGCAGAATCCTTTAACGGTTTCTGGAGGTATGGTATGAATTCAATGCATTTTAGACAAAACTACAGTTTTGTCTTTTGGAATGTAGTAGAATAGTAATAGAAATTAAATTATTCTCTATGGAGCTCGTATCCAACTTATTCTATATTCACTTTGTTAATAAAGTAAAACTGGCTGAGTGACACAATCATGATAGTAGTGTAGTTAGAGCACTTTAGAGTTTTTGCTGTGAGAAGGATTGTTATTTATTTATATTCACCATCTGCAATTGAAGGTGGAAACTAATGTAATTTGTGTCTAACTCATTCAGCAGTTTTCTGTTACTGTAATATAATTCCAGTCCTTTTTAATAAATTTGAAGATTATGAAGTTTAATTTAATTTTCACCTAAAATTATAGTGGAATTTGGAAACAGAATTTTGAGACTGTTTTACTCCACCAGTAATCAGTGTAATTTTCCCATTACAATACAGACAAAATGTTAAACGGGTGATGAGATAGTACCTTATGTGTCTCTTGTTCCTGTTGAAGGGCATTCAGTATCAGGGGGCATTCAGCTGTCTTTTCCTGTAAATTAGCATTTAAATAGAGTTAAACTGTGGGTGTTCTTTTCTCCCAATACTAGTATATACATGTATGTGTGCTGTAATGCATGTTCACAACGCTGTGAATTTTGATTGGACTTTCAGTCTTAACTTTAATTCCATTGCTATGTCAGTCTGTCAGAACACAGACTTAAATGACTTGAATGCTATTTGTGTTAACAGTAGTCTTAAAAACTGAGAACATGCACCATGGATGAGATATAGATCATTTCAGACTATCAATTAAAAATGCAGTATTTGTCCAAATTTAGAAACAAAATCCTACTGTTTAACTAAAAGACGTGTTTAAATGCATTTTTGCCATTTTTCACATATGGATATTTTATACAATGCTATGAAAGAGCTAAAAGAATTATTGTGGTATATCTTGTAAATGCCTTATAGTTAGCAGATTCTTGGCCTGTTGAACGATTATTCCTTTGGTGATATGCTTAATATTTTATAAATTAATTTGCCCTTGGTCCTAACTTTAAAAATCATTATTTTATTTTCATTCTAAATTAAAAGGATTTGGCCATCTTGTGGACAAATTAACTGTTTGTCTTTAATGTTAAAGCGGCAAGGATTTCATTGTTGACATAGATTTAGACAAGCTTTCAAGTACAAGATGTTCTTTCACCATTTTTGAGGAAATAGAAAAGAAAAAGCTTAAATTGGTGATATTAGTTTCTTAACTTGAAGACAATTGAATCAGATTTTTAGAAGTGGTTTTTAGAATGTCCATTCCAGGTTTATGTTATATGGGCCAGTTTTCAGCCGACAGGGAATATGACAGCCAAATTATAAACCTGGAAAACTGGAGTTATAGTGGAAATGTCTAACAGGATCCTGTCTAGAATTATCAGGGTGAAACTATATAATCTAAAAAATAGTATTCCTGGTTTAAGATGTTGTATTCTTTTGCCATAAACAGTATTTAGTCCTTTTGAATAAAAAATTGGACTTTTTTTCCTAAACATGTATTGGCACTATGAAAATTCAGAGTGCATTAACAGTTCATTATGATTTATGTCCAATGATAAGCTGACATAGTTCTTATGAATAAGTGGTGTGAAAATAAATTATAATGGAGGGGTCAATTACACACAAAGTACTATTGTTTTATCAGCCTATAAATCTACTTTTTGAAAGTACCCATTATTTTTTAACCAACTACAGAAAGTCATAGCAGTTACTGTTCACACAAGTTCTTTGATTGACAACCCAAGCCCTTTAGTCCTACTATTTGTGATATAATAGCCGGAGCTCTATTGTAATTTGATATGTACTCCTGCAGGGCACATGTATCCTGGTCAGCCTACATATTTATCATTACTGAGGGAAACAGTACTTCATGAGCTGAAGTTTTCAAAGGGATTATTGCTCCAATGACAAAGGAATTCCCTTCCTGATAAATATGTAAATTTTGTGGATTGAATATTTTCCTCTAGAATTTGGAAAGCTTTACAAAAATGTCATTTGTTAGTAACCTGGTGAATCATAATTGCGTTTTATGATCTAATGTTACATGCAGAATTTCACTTGAAAGCTGACATTTCTAGTTGGTATTTTGTTCCCTTCGTTCTGGAAACTTAGATTTTTCAAGTTTGCTATAGGACATGCAAAATATCATTGTGGATTATCAGCTGTTTGGAGAGCTCTTATTGCTTCAGAATGGAAACACTGTCAGTTTTATAACACTTGTCCTCAAGGCAAAGCTAAAATGAGCTGGACTTATAAAATGAAACTGGCAAAATCTAATGGTGTATTTTAAAATATTTGCTAACATTTCAGGAGTACACAATTGAAAAAAATCTTATGAATGGCAAACTAGAAACAAAGATTTGCTGCTTGGGTATATTTACTTTAATCAACAGCATGTTAAAAAAAATCAATCACGTATTTTAGTTCAGTATGTATCAATGTCAGTAGGGTCGTTTGGAGCTAGAAGCTCTCAAACTTCAATTAACCATGTAAATGTTCTTCATAGCATCAAATCTCACTTTGTCAGAACCCCTGCTGCCTTTATATCATTAACATAAATGCAGGTGCAAATAGCATTTATGTACTTTGATAGAAAGCAGTTGGAGACGTTTCACTGTGGGACACAACACTTTCAGATTGTGTACATCTGTTCAAATAATGTATCCAAGCCCAGTGACATGAATGCAGGGATAAAAACATCTGCCCCTGAGACCATTTGCTGTACAACAGATGCTTACATCTTTATTTATGCAGATGGCTTGTGTGATGACTGAGCAATGATGAAAGAAAAAAGTTTGATAAAGATTTCTGAGTGTTGGTTAGACTAAGAAAATATCCCAGACATTTTGTTTTCAAATATCTAGCGCAAAAATGGAAATCCATAGAAGTCTACTAATGCGTTTAGTAAAACAAACACATTGTTCTTGGCATTAAGTGGATTGGCACAGAAATCATAAACAGAAATTTGGCTCAGATCAGCACAAAAATTCCACTGTAGTTATGAAAGACGCTAAAGAGATTACTTGGAATGATGATTTTTGACAAGTTTGTGTTGTGCTTAAAGATTTTCATATCCACATTCAAAGTTATAAAAAAAACCTTGATTGAGAAATATTTCAAATTTGCAAAAAAAAAGTAATAGGTTAACATAACATCTTGAAAGGTTGATAAATAAATAAAGAGTTTTGTGTGTGAAAGTTAATATGTGATGCTATAAGTGGCTTCAAGGCAGATGCTATTTCTCGGTAAAAATATTTAGTAAAAATTATGAAGGCACAAGACTTGCAGTTTAACGTTTCTGTTGTTTTTTAGATTATTGTGGGATCGTTCACTTGCATTGCTATGCTTTGTTGAAATGGCTCTTTGATTATAAACTTGTATTTTCATAACAGAGCATCCATTAGTGTGAACTAAACTTCTGAGTTAGACTTAACCAACACACAGAAATGGAGGTGGCTTAAAATGGAACTTTATTTTTAGTTCAGACTCCCTCTGCTGGACTTTGGCAACATGGAACTCTTAACATTTCTTAATTATTTTTGCCTGTGGGAGATTACCTTGAGCCCACAGCTCTCCACACATGTGCTTCAGAGTGAGAGAACATCTTGTCACAAACTGTTGGGTTCTCATAATAAACATCATTTTCAATTATTAAAACTAGAAAAACTTGGTGAGCTGTTTCTGTAGGGCTACCTGAGGATACCTCCTGCATATACTTATCTTTCTACTGGTGCCTGTATCACAGGCACAGGCAATTATTTTGGCTGGAGGTCCACTTACCAAATTCTGGCAAACTGTCAAGGGCCGCATGGATAGCCTCACTCCTTGACAGGTGCCCACCCTCTGGTTGCCAACTTGGGACCAGAAGTCCTGCCCCCTAACTGCTGACCTTTGCCACCAGAAGTCCCTCACCTTGCCCCCAGAAGTACTCCTTTTGGCAAGGGGGTTTGCCATCTCGGAAGCAGAAAAATACCAAATTATATTCTAAAAATCAAACATCTACTACAACATTCATTAAGTTGATTTCAAAAAATATTTTCGTCCTGATTTACTTGTGTTTGTGTAGTGTACATAGAGGTGATTGTATAATAGCTTAAAATTAAGTCTTACTCTTGTATATTGTGGGGGCAGTGTGTGGGGTATGGGTGGGTGGGTATAGGTTTGTGGGGGGTTGTGGGTATGTGTGTATGTGGAGTGTGGAGGAGGGTGTGTGAGGGGGCTTTGTTGGGGGGTGGATAGGTGTGGGTGTGTATGGAGTTTAGGGGTGTGTGGATGTGGGGTAGGGGAGCATGTGGGGCTGTGTGTGGATATGTGGGGTGTGGGTGGGTATCAGGTTTGTGGCGGGCTATGAGTGTGTGAGGAGAGGTTGGCTGGGGGGGTAGTGGCATGTGTAGAGGGAGAGGGTGGCTTGGGTGTAGGGTGTACATGGGGGATGTAGGTGTTCACAGTCCTTGCCACCGGCTCAGGGCACTTAGGGCCTGTGGCTGGCGGAGCCCCTATCAGCACTCCTGCTAGTCCAGGCTCAGTACTCCTGCCTCCAGGACACCAGCGCAGGACCCTTCTGCCCGCCTGGTCCCTGCCACTTCCCCCTACATCTGCTACAGCTGCCCTTCTCTACCTTCCTGTTCTCCGCTCCCCCCCCCCCCCCCCCCCGGTTGCTGTCGCGCG